TTTCTTGTCTTTCAGTTACTGATGTTACTTGAAAGCATTGTAGCCTACGATTCCTGCCAAACTTCCATGGTTACAGTTAGTAGTGTTACTACAGTAAACCCATGGTGAATGTTGCTGATCTGTGGACACTGGATAGTTCATTCATGGCACAATGTTTCTTCCTGGTTTCAGCGCTGTTTGATCCGTTAATAACGGAGAAATGTGAATGCTTCTCACTAGATCTCGCAGCGATGTTATTACTTCAGTGGCGAACTCAAATGCTTTCTTTACTGGATTTCGCTGTGTGCTGATGATTAAGATCGGCTCGCGCTGCATTGGTCCAAACTGATAAACGGTCCGTCGTCAACCACACAATAACGAGTAGTTTCGTTCCGCTTACATTACATTTGCAATTTTATGTTGGGCAATGTTGTGGTCACGCGAGCGTCTCTTTTACATTATGAGCGCGCTTGCCACGCGTGACGCGCCTACATTTGAAATAACGAAATTTTGGTCGGCACGGTTAAAAAATGCGTAGCTACCGAAAACCGAACCGAAAGCCTCGTACCGAACGGTTCAATACGAATACGTGCATTACACCCCTAATATATATATTATATATACACAGTACACACACAACTGGTAAAAAAAATAAAAAAAAACACACAGACACACTAATAATATATGTGATTAACAATATTAGTAATGTTTCCAAAAAATTTACCGGTTGTGTGTGTGTATATGTATGTATATATACACATACAGTAGTCAACATTTGAAGTGGATGAACTTTTTTGATCCACTTCAAATGTTGACTACTGTATATACACACAACCAGTACAATTTTTGGAAACATTACTAATTTCAATGTTTTTGAAAGAAGTCTCTTCATGGCTCAACGCTAAAAAAAAATTCTACTGGCCTAGGCCACTGCCAGTGGTTATAATTTTTACTTGCCCAGCCAAAATTTTGACTGGCCCCACAACAAAAAATGTATAAAGTAAAAGAAAAGAACATGGGCCTACAAAATAAGCCTAGTATTGTTTTCGTTATTTTTTTATACATGTAACCATAATAAATAAGGTCATGACACCAAGAGCTACTAGATTAACTAATTTAACAGTAAGTAATAAAATAGGTACAAATAATCAAATTAGGAGCAATAGCACAAATAAATACAACAGAACAAACATATTTAGTAAACGGTGCTTTTCAGGTTTTTCATGTAGGTTTAAACACGAGATTTTCAGGTAGGTTACATAAATTGTAATCTAATGTATAACTAGATCAACCTTTATTAAAGTTAACCAGTGAAGAGCAGTTAAAGATGCATAAATAATGTTTTGAAATGTTGAAAATATAAAACGTTAAATATTGTTATTTGAAATTATTTTAAAACAAATGAAAAGATACTTTAAATGTGAAATTAAACCCACCAGTAAGTGGCAGTAGGTCACTGTTAATGAGTGAGTCATTGAGATTCAACCGATTCATCCAAACGGCTGATTCATTCAAGAAGGAATAATGAGTGAGTCATTGAATCATTGATTCAGTTGATTCGTTCAAAAAGCTGATTCATTCAGTAAAGATACCGTCGTCTGTTGCTCAGAGACGCAAAACAGTGATTTGTTTGGACTTTGTTTTGGAACTATTTTCGTTGGCGGAGTAGAGCGAAACAGGCGATTTGATGTCTAAAATGTAAGTCACCTAATATTAACTTGTTTATTAAACTGTACGTTGTATAAACTCAATATCACATTTGTAATCATGCTGATATTTGGAGAAAACGGCGCTTTTCGTGTAATATTGGTTAACTATATTAAATGATATAAATATGTAAGACATACAGGGGCATTTTTGCCCCTTATCTTGAATCCGGTGGCATTTTAAATGCATTTGAATAGACTGTCTAAAGCAGGCGCAGTAAAAGCGTAACGTTACACTCTAAATGTGCACGCGCGCTAGTCTAGCTAATCTACTAGACGAACGTTACATCACGTACTAGTGTATGCGTGCACTCGTTTTTGTTTGTTTTTTGTAAAGTGAGGGACATACTCGATGATGTCAGATCGTTAAATCAATATCATAGAGGATATAAATCGCACACTTCTACAGCACTGGCCCGATCGGGCAAGAGACAACTGTCCCGAGCTTCGTTCACACTGGCCCCGGGCCCGGGCCATGTCTTACTGACCACAAACTTTGGAACAATAGTGTATATTTTTACAAAATATTTCTATTTTAAATTAAATGCTTTTCTTTTTTTTTCTTTTTTTTTTAACTTTTTACAAGTTTCGCAGGTTATATAAAAAAAATATTAAGCAGCACAACTGTTTCCAACATTGTTAATAAATCATCATATTAGATGATTTATTAGCTTAAATCACAAGAATAAATTATATTTTAAACTATATTAAAATTCAAAACCATTATTTTAAATTGTAATAATATGTCACAATAATTTTCCGTAGTTTCATTCAAATAAATGCAGGGTTGATTAGCATAAGAGACTTCTTTCAAAAACATTAAAATAGTAACGTTAATGTTTCCAAACTTTTTAACGATACTGTGTGTGTGTGTGTGTGTAATCAGTTATAGTTACATTAAAGTTTATTTAAATTGTTGGACATGTTTGGTATATTCAAATATGAATGAAAGTTTCGTCATCTTGTGATCTGTTAAATATAATAGCTTATGTTCATTAATTAAACTTCCAGATACCAAAATGGTAAATTTGCTAAGCTATAAAATGGTACTTGGGCATCACTACTGTTCTGATCTACACACATCAGCACCTCTGATTGACAGCTGTCAACTCTATTCATATTACTCTGCCAACAACTTATTCCGACTTACAAGAGTCTTAATGTTGTTATAGAGATCGCTTTCTGTGTGGATCGAACTACTTTTTGTTCAGGATTCAAAGAAAATACATGAACAACGTTAATAGACACATATGCATGCAGCTAACGTTAGTTGCTAAAGATAACCATGCTGCTCAATGAACCGGTTTAATATATCTTTTTGGCGTTTGAGGTCATGAAACAGGCAGTGCTCCAAACCGCATGAAGTAAACAGTGCGAAACATTAAACCGGCTTAATATAAATCACATTTACCGTCATTTTGAATAACTTCAGCAGGATTTGTTGAAGAATAAAACCCACGCTGCACTCGGCTGATGACACCGTTCAGATACGTCACCGCCGGAAGCCGATTTGCATTATGGGTAATGTAGTTTTAAATGATTTGGCTATTTCACGCACAGAAAGAAAATGATAATAATACAGTTTTTAAAATAGCTTACACACAACTTCTGAAACTATGGCTCCATTTCTCAAAACTCTACACACAAAACACACTCACAAGATGCAAAATGTCAGTCATCTCTTGCCAAAGCAAACACTTAGGCCTAATTCAGAACTAGGCCTATTTTAACTCTTCTAAAAGTTGTGTTTTTGAACAGTAACTCTACACACAAACTGTCAATTGATTAGACACATACACGCCAAGCTACACACAAATGTCAAAATGAAACATGTAAAACACTACTCTCTTGTGTCTTTGGCTTGTTCAGTGTGCAGAAGAGTGTAGAAGTTTGTCACACATAGCCTACATGTGCACAAATACACTGTGCAGTATGTAGGCTATGCACAATGAATAAACTTTACAGTTATTAAACTGACCTGAATCAACACTGAACTGAAATTTTAGCTCTATAATGACAATATTGGCTTGTTAGAGCTGCTTTACAGCAGAATTTGAGTTTGTTACTATATTGTGACGCTGCTTTGAAACAATCTGTATTGTGTAAAGAGATAAAGAAATATAGGTGACTTGACTTGTATGCAAATATATTTAGTAAATATATAATTGAATTGCAAGGGTGTTTCTCATTTCTCCGTGATCAAATTAGGTAGGCCTATTTACACTATTAACAGAAATGCAAGAGGGTAAAAATTATTTCTTTCTTTCTGAAAATATTGAGTTTTGAGTTCTAAGTAATAATTTCAAACGCTGATAAAGTTTCTGTTATCAGATCAGTTGAAGATGTGGTTTCTGTTCATGTGTGCCATGCAAGACATTTTAGAAATCCCGACCGAATTATGTTTTACGGCCATGTCCAGGATAAAGAATATGGTCACCCAATATTCATACAATTAGGGTGATATTACTGTAAATTACTTATATTTTGGCCATTTGCCCATCTCTAAGTCATTAATTCCCTGTGTTACTTGCAAAGGCTTGCATATTGTTTTACTTTGTGGCCTCAAACCTTCAGCACTGCTACTCTGAGCTCGATTGCTGATGTCTGAGGTAAATCACACCCCCTCGTTACCATATGGACTATGGAAATAAATAATAAATAAATGTGAAAAATACAATTATACATAAACAAGGAAATAAAATATAGTATAAAGCATAACAAGTATACTAATTTATTTATTTTAACATTTCTTTGTATATTTATTTATGCATATATTTATGTATTTTTTTCTTACTATATTTATTTATGTATTTATTAGTATGTCAGCTTTGGAATTTCATAAATTCAATGTATTGACGTAATTTCCACTTTTTGTCATTGTTTTGGATCACACTATTATTATAGATAATAGTAAAGCTAACAAACATATTCATACAAAAAGCCAAACAACTTCAATTTTCATTTCATGGGGACTTTAAAGGATTAATGATCAAATAGGTAAAAAAAAATCAGAAATATTACGAACATCCAATAATTCAATATTAAATATTATACTTCTGACGGAAAACTCTCACAAATAAGATTACTTACAGTAATTATTATTAAACAAGTTACTAAAACAGAGATTTCGGAAAAGAACAAAAAAAATAAACGAAAATTTAAAAACTTATTTATACAAAACTTATTTTGTCCTCAGACTCTTTATATTTTGTCGTCAGACTCAGTTAGAATGTGTGGTATGCAACATAGCATGTAAAAGCATCTCTGTGATTGGCTGGCGAGGTTGCGTTGTGTGACGTTTCCCCGTGACGTTGCCGAGATCCTCCAGCAGCTTGTCCGACGTGCCAGTGACTACAGAAGGCCCAGTGTGTGTTATTAGACGATGCTAGTAGGAGTTGCGCATAAACACCCAGCCTTTTATCAGTATTAATCATATGCGCGTCAGGATGATTATAGAAAATGTTGACGCTCTGAAATCCTGGCTTGCTAAACTTCTTGAACCCATGTAAGTGATGAACAGTGATATTTGAAGCAGTGAAGCTAACTTGCGCTGCTAACATGCTAACCCATTAGCTGGAATTCATATTACTTATCCGCGCTGCAAACAGATATCGTTTCCTTTGATTTTATGTGTATGTGACACTTCAATTGTGTTCTTTCCATTTATAAGCTCATAGTGTTCAGAAATGCAACACAACTTGTTGTTAGAAGCATGTAGCTGGAAGCTAAGCTAATAGGGTCTGCTGGCTGAGAGGGGTGGTCATCAAAACAGCCTGATAGTATTCATAGACTGGCCAAAACAGGATCAAGCACAAGTTATTTTAGTTTTAGAGCCTTGGCATGTATGATCAGTCAGTATGAGTTTGCTTGGTGGTTCTTGTTTTAGCTGCCAATTTGTCTTGAATGTATTAGATATCAGTAAACCCTAGCAGACCTCTTGGATAAATGTTGTTTCACCTGCATGGATATATTTGACTGTTGGATTAAATGGAAGACTTCTCGTCTTTTGCTAGTTTGCATTTACACAAATGAACCTGAGATCTTTTACAGATGTGATGCTGACCCATCTGCACTGGCGAACTATGTTGTGGCGTTAGTAAAGAAGGATAAACCGGAGAAAGAACTCCGAGCTTTGTGTGCGGATCAGTTGGACGTGTTTCTTCAGAAAGGTATTGACAAAAAGTCTTCACATCCCTGATATTCTGTGTACATAAGTATGCAATTATTAGTGAATTCAGGCCCTTTCTTGTATTTACTGTGTCAATTCATGTTTCTTCTTGTTTTACAGAGACTACAGGGTTTGTTGATAAACTCTTTGATTGTCTAACCACCAAAAATTATTTGGGAAATCCAGCTGCTAAAGAAGAAAGTAAAATCCCAGTGCAGAAGCTTGAGGAGAAGGAAGAGGTAAAATCTGTTGTCACTGATATATCCATCAAAAGTGCACATGAGTCCGGGTCATTTCTTTCTTTCTTACTATAACTGTAGAATGTGTTTTAAACTACTTTTGGTTAATTCGTTCTCTGTTTCCAAACATAATGTTATTCACATTTTTGTTTTCCTATCAAAACATATTTTTTACATTTAGTTCACGTGTATATAGGGCATTATACGCTTTAATAATCACGACAGCTTCCAGTTCCTAGTGTAAATATATAAATAAATAGTGTTAATATTTATACAATAACATTTGTTTTCAGCCTGCTCATGTTGAAGACGATAGGGATAACAGAAGAAGAAGAAGCCCATTGAGAAATCGCTCAGACTTCAATGAATCAAGGTTGGTTTCCAAGAGTCCCATCTTTAGTCTATCGTTTGTGTTGACATATTTTCTTCATATAATCTAAAGGTTACAGGTTCTGTTTTGTGTGGGTGTTAAATATTCTCAGTTGTCTGTCTGGTTTGTCTTATTTCGCTTTTAGTGCACATATTTTACATATATATATATATATATACACTCACAGATGAGCCAAAACATAATGACCGCCTGCCTAATAAGCTTATATGGTCCTGCACGTGCTGCTAAAACTGCACAGAACCCCCGAGGCATGAACTCTACAAGAGCCCTGAAGGTGTCCTGTGGTTTCTGGCACCAAGACGTTAGCAGCAGATCCTTCAAGTCCTGTAGGTTGCGAAGTCTGGAGAGTTTGGAGGCCAGGGCAACATCTTGAACTCACATTCCTGAACAATGTGTGCAGTGTGGCAGGGTGCTTTATCCTGCTGATAGAGACACTTCCACAGGGAACACCGTTGTCATGAAGGGGTATACTTGGTCTGCAACAATGTTTAGGAAGGTGGTACGTGTCCAATTTGTGTCCACATGGATGGCCAGACTCAGGGTTTCCCAGCAGAACATTGTCCAGAGCATCATCACACTCCCTCCAGTGGCTGGTCCTCGTCCCACAGTGGATCCTTGTGAATCACTTCCTCAGATAAACGACACACGCGTGATGTAAAAGAGAACAGGACTCATCAGACCAGACACCCTTCTTCCGCTGCTCTATGTACAGCACCGTAACTCGCTGCTTCACTACCATAGCACGATGCATCGTTGAAGAAATCAACTAGCTCGTCTCGACTGTTCCCCACAGCCATATTTTCGCAATTGGTCGTTCAATCATGTTGGTAAATGATGTCACGAACTCAGTGGAGTCATAACTTCTTTTAAAGCTGCAGTCCGTAGCTTTTTTGGGGTTAAAAATGATCCAAAATACATATTTGAGAAAATACATAACCCGCCAGTGTTCAAAACTCTCTGCTTGCCTTAGCTCGATTCAAAGCGGTAAGCTTGTAATAATGTTTTTAACTCCAGTGGTACTGGTGGATTTCTGCGGGAGATTCGAGCTTGTCTTTGCGTCATTACGTCACATCTGTACACACACATCTGTACACACACACACATCTGTACACACACACATCTGTACACATAAAGAAGGAGTCTCGGCTAGTAGGCTATATTGCGAGTGAGGATGTTGGAGGTGGAGATTTATAGCCTTTTCTCACAGCACTTGATATAATTAAACTTATCAATTTTGATGGCGGATCCAGAAAGGTTCAAACGACAATCACCAGTGACAACTAGAGACTCACCCGCTGTAAAATACAAAAGACTTCGTTCGGACTTCGGAGTGGCTACAGAAAAAAAAAAAGACTGCAACCGGCCCATTTGGATAATATCGGAAGGACATTACATGTAGTCACGCAATGCTGACGTTGTTAACATTAACAATTTGAGAACAGAGTATAATTTGCACGGTTTTGCGTGATATGATAACTTATAAGCAATTGTTAGATTTAATCAGCGCGATTTACTGCAATATCAGAACCAGAACAAAAGTGGATGTTTCTTACTTGTTCAGAGGACATTTTCCAGTGAAAATTAATTAATTAATCTAATTAATACTAGATGTTTTGCTATAAATTACAAACATGGCATCTGAGGACTATCTCATTTTTCTCAGTTATTTTGCTTTATTTCCAGATTCAATCATAGGCTCGTTCTTACGCACTAGAGCACGTTCTGTGAACAGTGCTTTAAATCTCTTGACAAACTAAAATACGTAAATGACATTTGTATGTTGGCTATTCTAAATGGAAGATACAGATTGTACTGAATGTCAGCTTGCTTATTTTGCTCAAGACAAGGATAGGATTTATGGCATGCAAACTAGAAACTATGTTTCTAACCACAGGTCGAGAGCTGTCGTTCGTTGGAACGATGGTTTCGGGAAACACGTACTCAGAACCTGCGACCATAGTTGGCTAACGATGCTTTTGGGAAGTGCACCCCTGATCGGTCTACAGCTACGCGAAGTGTGATGCACTGAGAGTTGTGACACATTCCTCCCATAACTATCATTGAACTTTCGTGTGACTTGTGCCACAGTAGATCTTCTGTTGGCTCAGACCTGACGGGATAGTGTTCGTTCCCTCGTGCAGAGATGAGCCTCGAGCGCCCGACACCCTCTCGCCGGTTTGTTGGTAAATCCTCAGCACTGCTGACCCGGAGAAACCCACAAGCCTCGCGTTTTCAGAGACACTCTGACCCAGTCGCCTTGCCATAACAATCTGGCCCTCGATAAGTCGTTTAGATCTTTATTCCTGCCCATTTCTCCTGCATCCAACACGTTGATACAAGAACTGACTGTTTGCTTGCCATCGAATCTATCCAGACCCTAATATGTGGCCTTGATAGGAAATGATCAACGATAATCGCTTCACCTGTGACTGCTCATAATGTTTTGGCTCATCAGTGTGAGTATATATGAAGAGTTCAGATGCAAAAGCCTCTAAGTGCCATTTGAAATTTTCTTCTAGAATGATCATTTTTATCAAGCTTGTATATTTAAGTTCAGTAATTTCACTTAAATGGCAATGAAGATTACCTATTAATTGTCATTTAAGTAAAATTACGGAACTTAAATATACAAGCTTGACAAAATTGATCATTCTAGAAGAAAATTTCAAATGGCACTTAGAGGCTTTTGCATCTGAACTCTTCATATATATATATACACATATACATATACATATACATACATATACATACATATATATATATATATATATATATATATATATATATAATTATCGTCAGTATATAAATTGAAAAGTTTTTTCTATCTGAATATATTAATTATTCCTGTGTTGTCAAAGCTGAATTTTGCATTATTCGGTGTCACATGATCCTTCAGAAATCATTCTAATATGCTGATTTGCTGCACAAGAAACATTTCTTATTGTTATCAGTGTTGAAAACAGTTGTGCACTTATTAATTTTGTTTGAAACCATAGTACATTTTACTCAGGATTTATTTTTTAATTCTTCTACAAAGTCAAAATAAATAGCATTTGAAAGTGAAAAGTGACAGTAAAGACCAACGCTGTCACAAATAATTTCTGTGTAATAAATTGAATGCATCCTTCCTTGGTGAATAAAAGTATTATAAAGATTACTGAACCCAAGCTCTTGAACATTAGTGTACTAAGTATACCATAGTACTACCATGCTAGGTGTCTAAAACCCTCTTACACCAGACCAATATATGGAAGTCAGAGCCTGTACATCTCACCTCAGGGCTAGAGACGACCGCAGGAGAGACGACCGTAAGCGACGGGAACTGGACCGTCACGGGAAGAGCGGAGAGTCGTACCGGGAGCGACATGATCGGCGAGGAGGAAGCTCACGGGGAAGAAGCTACAGTCGCAGCAGGAGCCGTAGCCGAAGCAGCAGCCATGGAAAGAGCCGAGAACGAGAGCACAATCAGAGGAGAGGTAATGACCGTCCCAAACCACTTCCTTCACATTACTTTCACCTATACTTGTGTGCATTCGTGTGAAACAAGCAGTTCTTAGAAATGGATTTAATGGTTAATCGGTCAGTAACATAATGCTGACCGAAAACACAAACATTTTTTTTTGTCCAGAAAATTATTTTATTCAGAAATGCGTAAGAAATTCTATTTATTCTTGGAAGTACTTAAATACACCTGTCATCTATATAATGAGCATTTATTTAGCTTTTTTTTTTTTTATAACAAAAAAAAAAGTAAGGGCGATGTAACGATCCTGTCGAGCTGCAAGATTAATCGTGAAAGATTGCGATTTTGATTCAATCAACCCATGCGATTTCATTCCAATGATTCGCCAGTGTCTAATAAAACCTTTGACAAAATCGCACCGAAACGTTCAGATCTGCTTTGGTGCTGCCGCTGAGCCAGAGAGAGCAGTTGTCATGAAACTGCTTCACAAACAGTGTTTTTTTTAAAGCATACAGTATCAATATTTCTGCTACAGTAATTCAGATGATCACAGAAGTACTGGGATAAAAGTTTATAGTTTGGATATATATACACTGATGTCTATGGTAGCAATCAAAGTAGAGTAAATCAGCTTGACCTTAACTTGACCTTCAAAAAAAACATTTTTGGATGAACCAGTAGGTGGCAACAAGTGACTCTGTTTGAAAGTGAATCCTCATTGAATCCTTCGTTCGAAAACGCTGATTCATCCAAGAATAAAACAAGTGAAGTCTTTATGAGTGAGTCATTGCATCATTCATTCAAACCAAAAAAAAAAAAAAAAAAAATCATTCAGATTAAGCATTTTTAAATAGACTGCAGAAATTAATATTTTGTCCAAACCTCTAGTAAACTACATGTTATTTTGTTTAGTTGTCTGTTCAGAATCGTGGGAGAATCTTGCAGCTCTATTTAAAAATATATATATATTATTTGTGAGTCTCAATTTATCTAGAATCGTGCAGCTCTACTTGTCCTGATATCATAAAGTGTCATTATTTTTATTTTTTTAAAGGAAAACTTAAGTACTTTGGCATACTCTTTTGTTGTTATTTCATTGGAAACACAACAACTCACTAATATTTGAAGGAAAAAAAGTACACCGTATCAAAATCATGTGGTGCAAACAACATGTTGGGGGAAAAAATCTAAACAGGAAATGATATCATATTAAAAAAAAGCTTTATTTGAAAAATATATTAAAAAACTTATATATAAACAATATATTAAGACTCATATATGTGCAATGTATGAATATGAAAAATGTTTGTAACCTAGCAAAAAATAGTTGCTTGTTGGTTTTTCCCAAATCAATATTTTGTGGAGTCATTAAATACATTTTTAATGGAAGAAGTATTTTAAAGTAGAATTTTAAAAGATTTTTCTTTTCTTTTTTTATTACTGTGGACATTCTTATTTGTCTTTGACTGTGCTATTAATCAAACAACAATATTGACAAGAATTCTTCCTTTGCAACCAAGTCTTCACCAAATGAATCCTTTCGAATGTGCTTTATCTCAGCCGAGCACAGATCCAAATTTGATCAGGAGCGGAAGGACGCAGAGCCTTACAACCCATCCTCTGCCCACATGGGTAACCCACACCACCAGCAGAGCCACCCACCCCCCCTGCTCCCCCTTCCCCTTCCCCAGCACCAGTTCCCCCCCTCAGGGACCCCCGCCGTCCCCAACGCCGTAACCGTGGCAGCGCCGGCTCACCTGCCCGACAGCACCACAGAGAGCTGGTCCACTTACTTCACCAACCACAAAGACGGAAAGACCTTCAACAAGATCAGCACGCTCAAACACCGCTGCAGAGACTACGACGGTAAGTCCCAATTCACTTTTGTCAAGTTTGGTGTGATTATACTCGCACATGAAGACAAAAAGCTATTGCTACTTTTTTTTTTTAAATGCGTGTTAAACCTAACATTTTGTGAAATGTTTCGCTTAAAGTGTGATTGTAAATGCCACTCTCGCCAGGTTCACTCATACTTTGTTTGCAGAGCGACATAATAGATGGCACTCGTCTCTTCATGGAGGTGTAAAAATAAGTTCTTTATGACATGCAGGATTTCTTGTATAAAGATTTAAATGCAAAAGAAAAGCTGTTTTTGTCAATTTTAAGTTTTCATATAAAATATTTGTGAAATTACCATAAGAAAAGTAGCTACATGTTTAAATGTTTTGCCACTTGCTTGAGCAACTTGATATATAGATCAATATAGAAGTAATGCATTGAATAATACGTTGTTTAAATTTAGCGTTTAAACGTGAATGTCTTTGAAAGATTGTTTAACTGTACTGTGTACAAAGAGAATCGCAATGCTGACAAAACATTTTCAGCAACAACTTTTGGATTTGAAATAAAAATAATGAATAAATGTTGTTTGTGGTGTACAGCCGCGGATCAGGTGTTTACTGCAAACACATCATATGTGAAAGTATGTGTGAACCTGCACTTAGTTTGATATTTTAATACTTGAGGTCCAAATACGTTTTGCAGCCACTCTAAAATCAAAGTCAAATGATGTTCCGAAACACTGAAGCGTCTTGATATTCTCCAAGGACACAGTTTACTCTTTAGGGGGTCTGTTACTAAAGCGTCACTAATGACTGTGGTGTAGCAAACTCACCGCGTGGCCTTATGGGAACGGCTTTATGGCTGTAGAGTTTATATTTACCTCCCTGTACCTGGGGTATTTTTCACACTGGTGGGACTCGGAGAAGAACGTCCACAGGGATGACTTTGGGGTGGATGGTTAGCTCGATTTGTGTAATGATCTTAAAGAAACTGATTTGGCTTGTTGACGAGATGCGTGACTATCCATACAGCACTGTTTACATGGAGCAAACTCCACTGAAGAATGACCTCGGTAACACAACCAGAAGTTCAATCACCTTGACAAGTAGTGCCACCTCAAGGACACCTATATCATACAAGCCTCACATTTTAAACTGTCCAGAAAGACTTTTGTGATGGTGATTTTAAATTTTTTGTTCTTTTTGTTTGCAGAGAAAGGATTTTGTATACGAGGTGATCTCTGTCCGTTTGACCACGGTAATGACCCTCTGATTGTGGATGACGTCACACTTCCTACCATGATCCCGTTTCCACCACCGCCAGTCCTGCCACGGATGCCCATGCCCCCCATGACTGAACCCCCCCCTGGCATGCCCATGCCCCTCCCCCCCCATGGGCAGCCGCCGCCTCCGGGCATCTACCCCATGCCAGGTAAGTGTCCTTCGATTTCAGCATGCTAGACTAGGCTTTTCAGTTGAGTTATTAACCGAAAAACCTGGTCGATATATACATGTCAAAATCTGCTACGGGGCAATTAAATGTAACAAATCATGTAACAATGTATCGGAAAATTAAACATTTGATCAAACTTTTGATGATTGCCTTGATCTTTTAAACAACTGAGAAGATGGTGATCAAACTACATCACCTCACCTGTCAAGTTTACTGTATATATTAAATTGGACGACTACATGGACTCATCTCAAGATCACTCATTAAACAGTTTCACACAATTCTGAAAAAAATCATTCAATTCAATCATAAAAAAGTATTGAAAATATTCAAATTAGGGATGCACGATGATATCGGGACAACATCGGTATCGGCCAATAAAAGCTTAAAATGACCATCATCGGCATCGGCCGATATGAATATTTCTGCCGATGAGCCTTGCCGATAGGGTGGCGTGTTTCCTATGCGCACGTGACGACCGTGAACGAAGCATGAGCGCCAGCAACTTAAACTTCCAACTAGAGGTGTGCGTCTCACGGTTTTTGATCGTGGACGATTAAAATGTCTCCACGATCTGCTTTTGAAGAAAAATCATAGTATTGTGCATTCTATCAGTTCAATTCTGGCGCCTTCATCTCAACATACTGTACAACGCGACGTACATTCACATCACATCACATGTAAACGCAGAGGTAGAGTTACACTCACGGGACACTGCAATTCACAAAAGTTCATTGTTTGCATGTGCGTCAAAGTCTTGCTAGGTAAACATGTCATTCACGTGCTGATGCGCTGTTCTAACATCCGCTTTTCTGAGCGCGTACACGCGACGCTCACAGGAACTAAAAGCCTGTCACAGCGCCTGCATACTGGACTAATCTTTCGAGTCTTATTGCGCTGATACTGTCAAATACACACAAGGTTTACATAAACAAAGTTGGTTATGTCTAAAGTGAAAGCAAAAAGAGAAAATCTGCTTGTCAAATGCGTGTATATTAGACGCGTCGCGTTACTCGCGTGCAGTTCTTAAAGAGACAGTAATAATATTCTGCCGCTTGTCTTTAAAGAGATACTGCACCCAGAAATAAAAATTCTGTCTATCTAATGTTGTTTCAAACCTGGATTCATTTCTTTCTTGTGCTTAAATATACTATGGAAGTCACTGGAGTACAGCAACTGTTTGGTTAGCCACATTCTTCCAAATAACTTTTATAATTTCAACAGAAGAAAGAAACTTGAGAGAGTAAATGATGACAATTTAAATTTTTGGGAGAACTATCCCGTTAATGTTAATAAAACAACAAAACACAGAGGAAATCACTCACTGCTCTTGACTGAGAACATTAATAGAAGCTTTAATAAGCTTTTTTTGCACTTAAAAAAAAATACAAATATATCGATATCGGTATCGGCATCGGGCAAAATTAGTTTGAAAATATCGGCATATCGAATATCGGCCAAAATCCTATATCGTGCATCCCTAATTCAAATCAGGAATGTCAGAATCAGAATGTGTAGTTCGATCATAAAAATGTCCGTCAAAACCAACACATGTTGAGCGATGTTCACTAACTCGGTGAAGTTTGTCAATTGGATTGGCGTTTATTCTCTTTAGCTAAGATGTGAACTATGTTTGATTTTTGGGTAATTATAAACCGCGCTGTTGACTTTCTAAATGCTTTTTGCGTAGGCTAGTTCATTGCACGCACTTCCATTCGGAAATAGTACGTCTCACTTATTTCCGGTTATATTTACTTTCAACTAGGGATGCACCGAATCCAGGATTCTGTTTCGGATTCGGCCGAATATTGGGCTTTTTAACAGGGTTCGGTTTCGGCCGAACCTTAGAATTTTTTTCCACCAAACCCTAGGCTTGCACTACGCGCGCTACGTCGATGTCACGCTGCCGTTGGGGAAGTTGTTTACCTTAGGCTTGTTCAACTTGAACCGGCGCTGCACAGACCGATTGGTGAATGACATCAGAGTATATCATCAGTATGACATCAGAGCGAATAGAGAGCAGACGGCTCCTTATGCTTTTGAAATGCTCTCGCGGTACTTTGATGTCATAAACCGATCGGTCTGTACAGCGCCGGTTCAAGTTGTGTCAGGAAGAAAACAGACTCACGGAGGCGACTGGCATCTCACAACTCGCACTTTATTCCCCAATCGAACTCGTGTAACTGTCTGTCACACGTTCTACCGTCCACAGCGTTACTTAACAAAATAAGATAAAAATGAGCGTCAAACAGAAATAATTCGCATACATGGGGTGTTCGAGGCGCACGGCACATACAATACAGACTGCAGACAGTCCAATAGGGAGCACGCAGCTCTTAAAGGGGACACACCTTATTTCCACTCGTTACAGTAGGTGGACCGTTCGAATGCAGTAGGCTGTGAGAAAGTGAAAATGTAACTTTTGAGCAGAAAAAGTGTTGTTTGGCAGTAGAGCCCGACCGATATGGATTTTTGGGGGCCGATACCGATATTAGGGAGTAAAAAAAGCCCGATACCGATATATCGGCCGATATTATTTATGTGTATATTATAATTCAGTAGCAATATTATTTATGTGTATTATAGTACAGTATACCAGTCAAAAGTTTGGACACTTTCCTATTGGTGTGTACAAACTTTTGATGGGTACTTTACACAGTAGCTATAAACAGAATAAATATATTTTATAAACACGTTTTGCAATGATCACTCAAATGTGGTAATCAAACACTTGTGTGACACAGATATGTAATGGAGGCAGGGGGAATGATAGAATGAGAATTATACAGCTGAGCTGTAACCAAACTAGTTTGCATTGCATGTTATATTATATTATATTCTAAATACTGTTGCATGATCTTCACTAACGACTTTGTCTTTTAATTTAGTCATAACTTGTATAACTTAATATATAAAAAGTGTCACTGACAAAACCTTATTATCTTTTATCTTTACTCTTAATTCCTCTAATCTCTACCAGTGGAGGAAGAACTCAGATCTTTTTACTAAAGTAAAATTAATAATATCATAATGAAAACGTTTTTAATTACATATGTACAGTACTTTTATACCATTTTAAATAATTAGTAAGCAAAATGTACTAAACGTGAAACTAGGCTACTCTTAATGCAAAATGGCCCTGTATAAAGTGTTATAATTATATACATTTTTGGAATATTGCTTGATGTTGTAACGTAGCGGTTTTTTTTATCAGGCAGAATGAGCTTTAACACGGTGTCTACACGGCCGTTACTGCTCGCGTCGCAACAGCTGTTTACCCGAGACAAAGCAGAATCAGTTTACTGTCAGAGATTGCTCGCGCCACGCATTTTAATCAATGTTTCATCAACCAATCGCCTTAATAAATAAGTAGTAGGCCTAAATATAGCAGACAATATAATCAGGACTTCTCAGCTGCGCGCTTGCAATAGTCACAAGCTCACACAATACGTGACAGAGGCTTGTAGCAGAGAAATTAATTCTGTGAATTACACTGCGCAAATCACAAGTAGGCTACTACCCACCGGATGAAGAAGGGTTAGCTCTTAGTCTCCACAGGCTACATAAAATATTCATTTTATTTTATTTTATTTTATTTTTCGTGTTCGCATTTATGAGGAAAAAACAATGTTACAGACGCGACAGTTCAGCACTACGGACGTGAGCGCTCTGAAAGCGGCACTAAAATGCTTTGAAACTTTCACATACATTTTTCAAACAGAAAGCACAAAACCTTTCGTTTCAAAGTGAATTTCGTTTTGTATTAATTGTATCTTAATTTTAATCAATGTTTCATCAACCATTTGCCTGGATTTAATTTATAAGAAGTAAATATAGCAGACGATAGATAATCTCGACACGGAGGCGCCTGCGGGTGAACTGGAGCTCGTCTCATGAACCGATACTCAGCGTATAGACCTGAGAATTGAAATATATCTATATTGAAATGTCTACTTTTAAACAGAACAATTCAAAACGAAAGACAGACAGACTCATGTAATCGTATGAAATATACATTTCTCTCTGGCACGCGCTCACTGAAGATCGCGAGTCAGCATCGTCAACTTCATCTTTGGCTGACACTGACTGAAAACACTTGTTTATTAATAAACAATTAAAATGTCTCCTTGCTATATTTGTTGTATTCATAATCATTACTTTTGCCAGTTCTTGTGACAGCTTTTAGGTGCTTTATTGGCAGCGCCACCCTTACATGAATCACCGCACCCGCATTTTTAAAAATATTAATTTATCGGCCATTATAAATGCCGATACCGATAGTTAGGAAAATGCCTAAAATCGGCCGATATATCGGTCGGGCTCTAATATATATATATGTTATATTGTAGAGCTGCACGATTAATCATTAAAAGGTCGCAATCTCGATTCACACACCTACTCAATCTTATTCCTCCTAAATGACAACGATTGGCCTTAATCTATTAATCGTTTGAGTATTTTATTATTTATTATAGTCTGATCACAGCGTGACATGCGAAGTGTGTTTGCGCTGCCGCTGAGCAAGAGAGAGCAGGTACCATGTTTTATAGGTATGAGTGAGTCATTGAATCATTCATTCAAACCCATTCTTTTAAATAATTAATTCAAATGAATTAAAAGTTTTAAATAGACTGCAGCAATTAACATTTTGTCAGAATCTTGCAGCTCTATTTTAAGCACAAAAAAAAATATTCTCAATTTATCCAGAATCGTGTAGCTCTTATTATTAGAGTGATTTTAAAATCTTTAGAAGGTGAATGTAATTTATTTATTAATTTAATTATTCATTCTTTAATCAATTAATTCGTTAATTATGAATGTTAAATTATTTTCTCCTGTTTACTTTGTTTTATTAAAAATATCAATTTCAATTATATGTCTTAATGTTTGACTTAAATCTTTTTTTTTTCTTTTTTAACATTTTTCATGACCGCATTTATCCTTGGTCATGGGTTATTGATTAATAAATTAATTTATTTTAATGTTTATCAATTAACATTAAAATCTTACAACTATGCATCACAGTGTTTTCCATAAAAAATAGTCGCACCTTAAAATAAATCAAAATGGGACCAAATTTCATAGTTGAGAAATAAATATATTTCATTATATTATTATATGCATTATACAGTTGTGGTCAGGATTAGTGGCACCCCTGGTAAATATGATCAAAAATGGCTGTAAAAAATAAATCTGCATGGTTTATCCTTTTGATCTTTCATTAAAAAAATTCACAATCCTAACCTTTCATTGAAGTAAAATAATTGAAAGTGGGGTGGAAATCATATTATGAAATAAATGTTTTTCTCCAAAACACGTTGGCTACTTGATGGTGTTGAGAAATAATGTAAAATATCAGTGGATAAAATGACACATTTCCAAAATATTACAAACAGTGTAAACGTGTATGTTAGTTCCCCTCACTACACAACAAATCCTTTAGATTAAACTGTATTCAGAACTGGAATGGAAAAGAAGTATAAAGATATAAAATAAACCACATTCCTTAAAAAAGCCACGCCTAAACAAATGCATTTAAAGTGATTCTGAAACTGCCAGCATGTGGGAAATGGCCTATACCAAAAAAACTTGGGCTCATGTACCTCTTTCATTTGGCACTAATCCAAAATGTGTGCACTTTGCACATTTTGCGAGCTTGACGTTAATTGCATTATAGACCAACGCTACTTTTGCGTCATCGGAGGGTAACGCCCCTTTTTGGGGGAAAACAAACGGATTCCCCTGAGAACAGAACTCGCTCTAGATCTGCAAAGTTTCTTGATAGCAAAAATGGCACAAACATACACACTCTCTTTGCCGGCCGAGGACCGTGAGCGGTATTTAAAGAAGCTACTGGATACGGGGTTACAGAGGTGTCCCTTTGAAATGGTCGAAAACTGGATTAATGACCCCACGCAGTGGCCAAATATGGACTAATCAGACATCTCGTGGAATCTCCAAGTAAGTAGCCTATTTGTTTTTTGTCATTTACACACTCACAGTATGACAAACTAGACGACGAGGCCATGTCACTTATTTCACTTGATTTAAGCTATTGACATAGTTTTGTTGTCGACTAGCTATACTATACTGTTGAAATAGTGGCAGGCTAGGACTAAAGTGGACTTGGCTGGTTTCTGCTTGTGTCTAGAAAGTGCTAGGACTTTGAAAGTTGTAAAAAGGTTTACAGTGTACTAGTGATGTATGTCTCGAGACCGGTCTTGGTCTCGAGACCGGTCTCGAGACCACTTTTACGTGGTCTCGGTCTTGTCACGGCCTTGACGGTATTTGGTCTCGGTCTTGTCTTGGTCTCGGACCTCTCGGTCTTGTCTAGGTCTCGCTGTCTCAGACTGACATAGTGGTCAGGGGATTGAGCAATACAATACTACAATATCCACGACGATATCCACAACGGATTGAAGCGCGCGTCCGAGTGAAGACAGTGCGGTGCGCGCGAGCCACGCGAGAAAACACTGTATCCGCGCCACTGATCGCAGCGGCAACGAGCACTTTGATCACTTGATTTAAAAAACACATATCATCAGGGTGCGATTTGTGAAAAAAACAGAGGGGGGGATGTTTTGAAAGTTTTATTCATAAAAATAAATCATGAGAACATGAACTTCATCACTGCATTTGCAGGAATTGTAAAATCTTTTTTCTTATTAACTCATGAAGTAGCCTAACGCAATATGTTTTACTCTAATAGCTTATCATGTACAGTTTTTGATATATTAATATTTAGTAAAAGACATATCAGTGACATGATGGGTTTTACCTTCATTCAGGAGATTTTGGGTAACTGCACAACTGACAGATGACTTTGAGCGCACCGCCAACGGTGTGTGTGTGTGTGTGTGTAACCATAGCGACAAAAACGACCAACTTTCGGATCCTGCACTTAAGCCTATAATTTCGTTTTTAAAAATATAATTATGTATTTAAAAGTTGCAGAATGGATTCATTTGGAGACGTCGAAATCAGCAGAGATAGGCAGGCAAATGCAAAACAACATTTGACAAGTTATTGCTTAGCTTCAACACTAATGTTTTTTTTCCCCTCCGGTCTCGACTTGGTCTCGGTCTTAGTCTCGACTTGGTCTTGGTCTCGACTTGGTCTGTCTTGGTCTTGGTCTTGGTCTTGTCTTGGTCTCGATACCATCTGGTCTTGGTAGTGTCTTGGTCTCGGTTTAGGCGGTCTCGACTACAAGTCTACAGTGTACGGCAAAATATGTATAGGACCAATGTATGTATGTATGGGGCTGTCAAATTGGATGTTGTGACATTACGCTATCCTATCTAGCCTAGAAGGCTTGATCTACTGCCGTTCGTGTTGTTTCATGTAGCCCAGAGCTAGCCTGGCATGCCAGACCTACATCAGGATGTTAGGTCTGGGAACTCACCATTGACAGGGCTCAATACGAGGGGCGGGATAAACGGTTGTCTTTCAAATTCCCTCTGCACGCAATAGGATAGCGCTACAACCAACCAGAGCGTTTTCCCACCAGCGGAGCTAGTTGATAGAGTAAACTTTTGCCGTATCTGGTCGGTAAACTACGAACACATCTTCCTTTTTTAAGAATGACTTAAGTGCCGTTCATTTCCCAAAGAAAAGCTTAACTCCAAGTCCTCCAGAGTCGCGGCCAAAGCCGATTGGAAAAACCGCTGTTCGCCAGCAGCAGCAGCCATTCTTTGTTTTCAAGTAGCAGTGAACCGTCGCATCTCTGTCGTCATTATGTTAAGCCCGCCCGCCGACTACACGATGTGATTGGCCTGACTAGAGTTTGGTTTTTCCAGCTCGAAAGTCAACGGAGAGTTGCTAGACTACACTGGCTGCAAAATAATTTTTGCAGCTGCTAGGGGGAGTCTAGATTTCTAGGCTAGCCCAGAGCAGTGGTCGTCGAAAAGTCATATAGGCCTAAAGCACTATCTAGACACAAGCAGAAACCAGCCAAGTCCACTTTAGTCCTAGCCTGCCACTATTTCAACAGTAAAATCAGTTAACAGCCAAGGTGTAGCGTGCCTAGTGAGAGCTAATCACATAACGTTAGCTGCTAGCAGCTTCGTCTTTCTAACTAGTATAGCTAGTCGACAACAAAACTGTCAATAGCTTAAATCAAGTTAAATATGATCCAAGTGACATGGCCTCATCGTCTAGTTTGTCATACTGTGAGTGTGTTAACGACAAAAAAAAATAGGCTAAGTTACTTACTTGGTGATTCCACGAGATAGTGGTAGATGTCTGATTAGTCCATATTTGGCCACTGAGTGGGGTCATTAATCAAGTTTTCGACCATTTCAAAGGGACACCTCTGTAACCCCGTATCCAGTAAGTTAGCTTCTTTAAGTTGGTGCCATTTTTGCTATCAAGAAACTTTGCAGATCTAGAGCGAGTTCTGTTCTCAGAGGAATCCGTTTGTCCGTTTGCCCCAAAAGGGGGCGTTACCCATCGATGACGCAAAAGTAGCGTTGGTCTATACAAGTCGCTTGGAATACAAGACGCAGAATGTTTTAGGTAATACAAAAATTGACTTGTGTTCCAGAAAATATGGTAAATGCATTTGTTACCTGTTAATTTTTAGGAATATTATTCGTTAATTTTTTAACTCTTGGACGATAAAACTTGAGAATGACTTTATATTAACAACAACTCGGAACGATTGTCCTAAAATGCAATAATGGAAGTTAGCTGTAAATGTTAGTGTGCTTGAGTTTGCTCTTGTCTTGTTTTAGGGCCTCCTCTAATCCCAGCTACTGGGATAGACACTCCACCCCACTCCAGAACCAGAACCTCTTCCCCTTTGGCCCTGCCTGGAGTGGGACCACCTCCTCCTCCACCTCCACCACCACCACCACCACCACCTCCTTCCTCTTCTTCCTCCTCTTCTGCCTCTCTCCATCCTCAATACACTCTCTCTGAATGTAAGCCACTGCGCTTCTCTCTCCTCAGCTTGAGCAGTGGTGCTCAGAGCTTACTGTCTATGTGTGTGTTGTAAAGGGGTCATGTCAGATTTCTGATATTCCAGCTACTTGTGTTTTTCCTGTCCATCAGAAATGCATTTAAATAATTATAAGCGGCCTTTAGAGAAGAAAGTCTGACCCCTTTAAAGAAAGCAGTTGATATACTAAGCCTCTTTCCTGTCTGTTGGTGGTGGTTCTGGTCTTGTCGTGTGTACATCAGTTAGTAGGGCTGTAATGATGCATGTATTCGTACCGAACATTTTCAGTACGGGTCTTTCGGTTTGCTACGCATGCGTACAATATTGTTCACATTGATTTACTTTGTTGCGAGCAGAACTGGAAAAAAAAAACGGGACACAGAGTGAGCTGCTTGTCTTAAACATAAGACTTTTGTTTTATATTAAAGTCCCCCTGTAGTCAATAATTGTATCCCATTCCAATGTATTTATCTTTGATCTCCAAAATTACATTTTTTTTTTTAAAAATCCTTGAAAAAAAATTATTCATGCCTTAAAAATAGCTTGAATGTAACTCTACACACTTGCCTTATTTAGTATATGCGGTTTTATGAATATGCAAATGAGCCCCGCCTCCACTCACTCACTCAGCTCAGAGATCCACTCGTTGACGATCACACGTTGATCTGATTGGTTACAAGGTCGTTTGTGACGTCAGAAACGCCAGCGATTTCAAACCGTGTTTTTGAGACTGTCTTTGGTTCACTGCAGTTTTAAGATGAAAATACTGTCGACTTAAGAATTTACACATGGCTTGTCTTAAAGCATATTAAAAACACCACATAGACATATAAACAACATTTAAAAACTTGATTTTCACCAGAGATAAACCTACCCTGCTGTCAGATGCGTGTGTAATCAGCTTGAGACGTGTTTAACTCAGCGTTAATGTTTAACCTCATCTGTAAATGTTACAAATGTACACATTTCCATCTCGCATGAACGATTATCTTGACAGCAAGCGAGTCTGTTTGACTTCACAAACTCTTCCTCCAATTACAACAGCACCATAAACTGCAGTGTATTTTTCATTTTATAAGCATACCTAGTTTGTTCAGTAAACCACTAAAAACAGTTTTTTTTCTTGCTGTACCGAAAACATACAAAACCGTGACTCGGGTTATTCATTCTGAGTAATTATTTTTCAAGGTTTTAAATGCAACAAAGATTGAGTACGTTTTAAAAGAAAATACTGTTTCAGTTTTTTTTTCTACTTGAAAGTTTCATGTTTAATTCAATGTGTCACTTGCTGTTTCTTTGTAATTATTTGTGAAACTTACTACTAGCAATTTCTGAGTGAAAATGGTTTCAAAGCCAGTTTTTTCAGTGGGGGTATGTGTGTGTGTCTGAAGGCTGCAGTGACCGACTCTGACCATGTAGTTGTGCTGCTGCAGCATCTTACACACACTGCATTTTCTGAATAACACAGAGAATTTGGAGAAAGTTCTCTCAAACACATGTGGTAAATGTTTAATTTATCGAAGGGAAAGAACCTCCTGTAGTGTTTTCCCCCCCTGCACACAGTACATATGGTTTAACACGTCTTTGTTGTGTCACATACAGACAGCTATGACCCCGAGGCCTATAACCCAGAGTCCCCAGCACTGACCGGCCCAGGCAGAGCTCAGTACCGGCATTTCATCCCTCGCATCCAGACGCAGAGACCCAACCTCATCGGCCTTACCTCTGGTGATGGACAAAACTCACGAGGTATCAGATGTAAAATATCAGTTCCAAACCAATGACTATTTTGCATGAGAATTTCAAACGTATTCATCATGACAACATCAATTTAAATTTGTTTAATGTGTGTTTTTAGCAGCTAACATAGTGATTCAGACGGAGCCATCTGTCCCGAGTGTGTCGAGCAGTGAGGCGAGGTACAACTCTGAGCAGGAGAACAGGAAGAGGTGTCTGCCGTCGGCTGATGGCCCACTGGTCAAAAAACCCTGGATGGACAAGTGAGTGATGAGCCACTACTCACTGTTTCAGTTGATCTTATTTTGCAGTCTTTCAAGAAAGTATATGACCTTTATAAATTCACCACAAATGTGGTGTGTGAGAGAAACTTTAGAATTTTTATTATTCTACTTTAATTATAATTGTGTTCAATGACTGTGATGCGTTTCCACAGTGCTGCATCACCAACATCACAAATCTAGTATGAATGGTAGTGTGGATCTAGTCTGTAAATCTAGTTTTCAATCATTTTATAAAAAATAATAAAAATCCTTTCGTCTTTCTCTTTTTTGACTGCTGAATTCTCTCTACATTTGTTTTGGAAAGTCGTGGAAACGCTATCATGGATTTTGTTCTTCTGCTATTGGACCAAATGGGAATTATTATTTTTTTTTTTTTTTTTATTACAAAAACTATATTTGCTGTCGTCTCCCATTCACTGTTATTGAAGTTTACACAACTATGAGAACTTCAGAGGACCCTGGAAATGTGAAAAGGATCCAATATTGATTATGCTTATTATTACTTAGATAATTAATGTACTTTTGTCGTCTCTTATGCTCATCAAAAATACAGAAAAAAACAGTAGTATTTTAAAATATTATTAAATTTAACATAATGGTATTCTATTTTAATATACCTTAAAATATAATTTATTTCATTATTACTCCAATCTTTAGTGTCACCTGATCCTTCAGAAATCATTGTAATATTCTAATATTTATCATCAGTTGAAAACTGTTAAGCTGCTATTTTATAACTTGTATGTGTGGGTGTGTGTGTGTATATATTTGTATAACCTGTGATAGTTTTTTCAGGATTCTTTGATAAAAGAACTGCAATATACAATGTACTCTACCGTTTTTCAAAGAAACTGATCATTTTATTCGGTGTTAAATTGATAAAAAGTGATGATAAAGATTTATATTGTTGGAAAATATTTCTATTTTGAATAAATGCTGTTCTTTTTAACTTTTTATCCTGAAAAAAGTATCATAGGTTACAAAAAAATATTGTTAATACTTCATACTACTAAATCAGCATATTAGAATGATTTCTGAAGGATCATATGACTCTGGTGACTGGGTTTATGGCTGATGATAATTCAGCTTTGATTCACAGAAATAAATAATATATTAAAATAGAAACCATTTCATTACTTCAAAAATACAGAAAAAAACTGTAATATTGTGTTTTATCAAATAAATGCCGGCTTGATGAGCAGAAGAGACTACTTTCAAAAAAATAAATGTAATCAATTATGGATCATTATGCTAATTAATACATTTACCTTTAAATGTATGTATAGTTAAATGTTAATTAATAATTATTAATTTTATTTACATTATTTTTAGTGTCTATTAATTAATATTTGATATCTTGGAACACTAAGGAAACTACAATGATGCAGGTGGATGTCCTGATGGAGATGTGTAATGTGGTCTTTCCTGTTTTACAGACAAAACTTCAATAACCAGCATAAACCCATCTTCCCGAAAAAGATTTATTACGTCAACACCAAACTAGAGGTCCGCAAAATCCCCCGGGACCTCAACAACATCACCAAACTCAATGAGCACTTCAGCAAATTTGGAACCATAGTCAACATTCAGGTAAACTTTCTGTGTAGATTTGATTATGAACTACATATTTGCTATTGTTCTGTAGCACTTTTGTTACACAGGTCAACGAATGTAGTTGTAGTGATTGTGATGTAAAACTGTGTCCTGTGTTGTCGTTTCCACAGGTGGTGTTCGGGGGGGACCCAGAGGCAGCACTGATCCAGTACACAGCCAACGACGAGGCTCGGAGGGCCATCTCCAGCACTGAGGCCGTTCTCAATAACCGCTTCATCAGAGTCTACTGGCATAGAGAGCCCACATCCAGCACACAGGAGCAGGGACCCGGTCAGAACACGAACCCTGGCCAACAGCAGCCCACGACACACAAGGTCCGGTACCCACTGATGGGTTATCAGATTCAGAGAAAATTAAAACTGGAATGCACAATACATTATATTTCTATGCGATTTCATTGTGGAGAACGTTTGGAGAATGAGCTCTTGCTGCCCAGCCCTACTATTGATCGTTCTCGTTTCCCCCATAGAGAAGTTTGTGTCCGTTTTAATAGATTGTTAACTCAAAAATGCTTGGTGATATCCTTACCGTGACTGTTCATCCATGGTTCCAAACTTTGTCATTCGTTTACATACTTTGACTGAATTTTGTTGTGTGTGCAGGTCATTAAGCAGCACCCTGCAGGAGCTTACGTGCTGAATAATACCTTCCCCAAACACCAGACTGCCACGGGAATCATGGGCGGCACTGAACCCACCAGCCCGAACCAAGAGCCATCAGTGGTAAAGAAAACACTTGAATGTTTGCACACATCTGTTCAGAGAGAATATGAATGAGCAATATCACACGAGTTGGAGTGCGATATGGCTCTATGTCAGCAGGGCTGTGATTAAGCCATAGGCACAAGAGAGAGCCACATGGCACGGCTACGAGTGTGTAAATAAATCAGAAACGGCAACAGAGAGTGTCTTCAAAAACCCTGTTTTGTGCAGAACTACTTTCTTCCGCCACAGATTCAAATCTCATTGACAGTTTAATAGTTGAGCCCGAGCTTCCGTTACTAAACGTCACTTTAGAACTAGTAACGAAGGAACGTTAAGTCGCTTCATTGGAGAGTATAATGAGAGAGAGAGTAAACGAGTTCATTCTTCAGGTCAATCTTATTATGATAATAAAAAAAATTCCTCTGAGGAAAACGATATCTTAGTATCTTTTTAACAGACAAGGGGATTTCCCATGATAGCGCTAGTCAATGCATTTGCCGGTTGAATACAATGCATTTGTCTTTAGAAATAACCTTGTTTCCAACCCTGTTCAGGCCGATTTCAATATAAAAGTCTTTGCTTTGCTTGACTCGCTCATAAAGACTCTTGTCGCCATCTAATGACGTAATAATGTAACGTTCACTGAAGTAGAAATCACAATAACTAACAGACCGTTTCCCAATACCCAATACAGCATATTGTTTATATAAAATAAAATGTTATTTATTTAACAGTAATAATTAAATGAACAATAATAGCCATTATAAAAGTATGAGGTTTGTACAATAGGAAATAAACACAAGCGAAAAAATCAGTCAAAAGCACTCTATTTCTATTTAAATTAAATTTTGTACTATTACTATAGTTATAAACCTTAACTTTACCCTTAGCCAAATCGATTTGCTCTGGAACAAGATTACCTGTTTGATATACCCAAAATCAATTGATATACCCACCCGTTTGAATACCTCATATTTATCCATTGTCTACTGTATGTAAGTGTCCCTGAGGAGGAGTGGCCAAGATGAAGCTGTTCTCAGCGGATACATAAGCGCTGAACAGCCACTGACGGCCATGAGCTCACATCTCGAAAATGTCTCAACAAATTTTCAAATAGGCAAATTATATATAAATTGCATATTTGAGGTCTAAACAACCACATTCTCGCCTCAAAAAACTCAACTCAAAAAGCATTCTGTGACACAATAATATAGTAGGTTTGCTGTGAGAAATGCTGCCAGTATAGATCCAGCAGAAACTACCAGTCAAAAGTTTGGAATAATTATAGTTCTTTTAAAAATGTTAGTAAAAAAGATGTATCTTTTTCTCAACAAGACTGCATTTTTTTTGTTGATTCAGGCTTATTTGGTCAAATTGAAATTTTATAAATGAAAAGTTTAAAAGAACAGCATTTATTTGAAATCGAAATCTTTATAACATTATAAATGACTTTACTGTTACTTTTGAGCAATTTAAGGCATTCTTGCTGAACAAAAGTATTTCGTTGGAGTTTTTCACTCTTTTGCACCTCGCTTTTGCTAATTCAAAGTAAAATGCGCACGGGCATACATAACGGTGCGGAGCAGAGCGAGCGCTTTCAATTAATTTCAATGGAAGTTCGGCTTTCATAGGACTGAACTGAAACGCTCGCTCTGCTCCGATAGGTGACACACACCGTTATGAATGCCCGTGCGCATTAGCAGCAATTCGGGGCCGGCAATTGCTTGAATGGTGAATGGTCATTATTATTCTTAATGGAAAAACACAACTAAATCTTTGCAGGTTCCCTAATAACATTGGGTTTAAATCCAAAATATTGCCAAATAGGTGCTTTTACATTTCGCTTTAAAAAGCAAATCTCCCGCCATCGTCTTGTCAGTCAGCTCGCCTCACTCTCGTGATAAATGAAATCTGGCTCCTGCTGCTGATCTGTGCTGCGGCTCTTTGACTTGTTCAGTTTTTAATAGTAGTGTCTGTTCTCTGACTGACCTACATGATTTGTATTGCTATAAAAAAAAAATCTAAACGACAAGTCATGTAACCTAACACCGACTATCACAGCAAGCCTAGTTTGCACAAAAATATGAAGCAGCACAACTGTTTTCAACATTGATGGTAACAAATGTTTCTTGGGCAGTAAATCATCATTTTAGAGTGATTTCTTAAAGATCATGTGACACTGAAGACTGGGGTAATGATGCTGAAAATTCAGCTTTGATCACAGGAATAAAATACATTTTAAAATAAAACCGAAAACGGCAACAATAAATGCAGCCTTAGTGAGCATAATAGACTTCTTTCAAAAACATTTAAAAATCTTCCAAACTTTTAACTGATTGTGTGAATTTCTCTGTTAAACAAGGGTTTGACGCCATCTTCGAGTTTACCGAAGGGTCCGTTCTCACGCACGGTGTTGAAAACCGCATCAAAGTCATTAGGAAAAACGGGCAAAGCGCTGGAAGCTCAGGAGGTTCTGAAGAAGAAGCATGTGAGTATTTCCTTTCTCCTCCTCACCTCTGTAAGCTGATACAGGCAGATCCACCTACTAGGATTGCACCGTCTGTAATGTACTTATGAGTGCGCTAACATGACCTCTGACCTTCAGGAGGCGTTGAAACTGCAGCAAGACATGAGGAAGAAGAAACAAGAAATGGTTGAAAAACAGATCGAATGTCAGAAGGTATGAAAGATTACTGAAGTGAAACAAAATAATTGTGTATATATACAACTAGGTAAAAGTTTGGACATGTTTTTTATTATATTTTGATATTAGTGTAATTACTCATTTTTATGTTGACACCTATGTCATACGTCACATTCATCTCATATTTGCTGTGTACAATTAGCATTACTTGCTCTTTATTTGAAAAACATATGATTCCCAGTGTGCACAAACTTGCCAGATTACCAAGTACACTGTTGGTTACAATGTTTAGGTCCTTTTTATTTGTTTCAAACTATTTGTGAAAAATACTTTGATAGGATTGAATACAAAATCAAGAAGTATAAATATATTTTACGGATTAATTTCTATCATGCTCGAATTGTTTTTCCAAATCGTTTCCTTTTCAAATAATTGCTCCCTAATAATTGTAGTAAATATTATATGAAATGATATTCATTTCATTTCATCAATTGATAATTTTGCTGAATCTAAGGTGGTCACTAATGATTTTTTTTTTTTATAATAGGTAGATTATTTTGAGGATTAATCGAATAATCCCATTTTTTTTGTGTGTATGGTAATAAAGAATAGACCCAAGTGAACAATAGCCTTTAAAATAACTTAAAATGTAACATTTTCATAAGGCCCCATCTGTAAAACATGTTTAGCTAATTATGATGGATATTAGGAAAACCTGGCTTTCAGATATTGCAAGAGATGACAGGAAATTAACAAAATTAATAAGTAAAGTTAGTTTGACTTCCCATAGCACTTTGTTAAACAAGTCAACTATAAATTCTGTTAACTGTAAGCTACTTTGTTACAGTTATGTTATCAACCAACTTTGCATGTGGACCATTTAGCAAAAATAATAAATAAAATAACATATATTTATTTTATTGCATCGCAGCCTGTGATATTTCACAATAGCACTATGCCATATTATGATTTTTAAATGGTTTTAATATATCGTGCAGCCTTAGAAAAGGATTAATAATACAGGTCAAGGATTCTCATCCGTGGAATGCACCACTTCCGGTATTTTGCCGGTTAATTCACACGAGTAAATTGCTATCAAGGATTTTTTTTTAAACCGAGCACTTGAATTTATTCGAGGTATTGTGACAGCCCTAGAGTTATTGTCCTTGTCCTGATTCAGGAGTGTATATTAGAACTGCTAGTGGTTTCGTACATGCAGTTTAATGTAACTCTAAACCTGAACTGCCTTCTGCAGGTGCTGATAAACCGCCTGGAAAAGAACAGAGGGATGAAGCCAGAGGAGAGAGCAAACATCATGAAGACTCTTAAAGAACTGACAGAAAAGATCTCTCAGCTGAAGAATGAGATCAGCCCGACCGCACCAGCTACTGCCAACACTACACAATCAAAGTCAAAAACAGACGTAAGTGTGTTCTAGATCTATTCTTGTATAAAGCTGCAGTCCGTAACTTCTGGCGCTCTAGCGGTTAATAAACAGAACTGCATGCATCTTGCAGAAGAACATTGTAGCCAGAGCTACTTCTCTCTGTTTATGTCTTTGACAAATGACGCAGGTACTGGGCCACTGTCTAAATATACACACTTATTATAGGAGTACCGTAGTGATTCAGGATAAGACAAAAACACGGTTTGGAAAATGGATTCATGATGTACTTGCTTATTAGGTGTTCAAGCACGAAGTGCTGAAAACCTATTGTAATTGTAAGGATTTTTATTATTATTATTATTCCGCCCTAAAACGCATCGTGCAGACCAAACCGTAAGAGCTAGAGACTTGATATTTGGGATTAAGGTAGCACAGAAATCGAGGAGAGGTTGAGAGAGTATGAGCCCGATTGGCCCATAGGTGGCGCTATAGCAACAAAAACGCGAAAGTGATCATAACTCCTAGACCCTATGTCGTAGACTCAAGTGTCGTATATCATTGGAAAGCTGGACTCTTGACTTAAAAAACGTATATCTCCGATTTCATTTCCGGTATGCAAATTTTTCCGCTATTTCCGGTTTTGTCCAAAACCTACTTTTGCGAACTAGTCCCTGGTTTTTTGCCCGATCGGAACCAAACCAGTGCAGAAATGTTCTCTGGAGTCTGAATATCAATAATTATCAAAAAAAAGTTGAAATTTCGATTTCCGGTTGCTAGGGGGCGCAAAATGAACGTTGTGGGAGGAGCCTATTTTACTAAAACGTCTATAACTCAAGAAGTAAATGAGATATCTTCACCAAACTTGACACACTTGTGTATGAGGACAATTTGGGGTCACAGTAAAAAAACCGCGTCGATCTAACACTAGGTGGCGCTATAACATTAAAAAAACATAAAAGGGGGTGTGGCCACCTGACCGTTTGTCCGATTGACTTGAAAATTGGTATGCAGTGTCTTGGTCCAAGGTGCCATGTATGTGTAAAAGGATATTGGCGTATCTCAAAAAACATGGCCGCCATCGGCCAATGAAGTTTGAGCACCTGTGAGACGAGGTTAACGGAGGCCAATCGGAACGAAACTCTATGGGCATGTTCGACTCATGGCCCAAGAGGTCTGTAAGAGTTTTGAAAGAAATCGGCCACTAGTTGGCGCTAACGAGTTTTACGGCTCTGTAATCACGTGGTGTTGCACACATCCCCACAATATGCATATCATTTGATAGATCTCCTCATGCTGAACAACTTTGCCTCTAGAACCATTGCTGTCAATCAAACCGTTCATTAAATATTCACGAATATGTTAAAAACCTACTTTTGCGAACTAGTCCCTGGTTTTTCGTCCGATTGGAACCAGACCAGTCTAGGACAATTCTCTGGACACTCTAGATCAATAATTATCGAAAAAAAGTTGAACTTTGCCCTTTGCTTCGCTATAACAGGGTCATTTATAAAAGGGGTGTGTCAAAACACACTCAAAAGCCTATAAATCATAAATAAAAACTCAGAACTTCACAAAAATTGATGAGCATATGTGTCATACCATGGTGAAGAAGCATGCAAAGTTTCATGGAGATCGGACAATAGGTGGCGCTATAACTGTTGAAAAGCTTTAAAACCTTGTATTTCCTATGGTAAATTGCCTGTATTGGCTGTAAATGGTCTTTTCCATCTATGATCGTATAATTTTCATATCTTAATGTTTAAAACCAGTGCAGTACAATTATCTGGACTCTCTAGATCAATAATTATCAGAAAAGGTATAATTACTTCATTTGGATGGCTATAATAGAGTGTAAATCGGATGGCTATAACAGCTATAACAGCTTGGATGGCTATAACAGCCAATAAGTGGTATTTTACTGCCCCCTGCTGTCATTTCATCATACTACTCTCTAATATTTTTATATATAATTGATATTTAGACTTTATTAAATCATTATTTTAACATTTACAATCACATTTTGTCAAAATTCATCTATTGCTCTGTACTCTCTAGAACAATAATTATAGAAAAACGTATAACTTCTTCATTTGTATGACTATAATAGGGTCAATTCAATATGTAACCTTGACCGAAAGGCAATATCTTTTCAATAAATGCTCATAGCTTCTTAAAAAAAGGTCAAGAACAGCTATAACTGCTTGAAAAAAGGCTAACAGCCAATAAGTGGTATTTTACTGCCCCCTGCTGTTTAAAAAAAGTCATTTTGTCACACTACTCAACTATAATTAATATTTAGACTTTATAAATTCACTATTTTAACATTTACAATAACATTTAGTCAAAAATCGTCTATTGAAGTGACAATTGAGTCACATTGGCTCCTGAAGTTCCAAATGTCTCTATCTACATCAGAATGAGCGTGTGTAGATTAAATTATATGAAAACATGGCCTGTTGTATAAGTAGGCTGTAATAGCACTGTTGTCCACTAGATGAAGCAGCAGCATTAGATATTTTTAATCTTTTTTTATATGATTTTCACAATAACATATCCCAAAAATGTGTGTGTGTGTGTGTGTGTGTGTGTGTAAGCAGGCATTATGGAGTTAACATGAAAAAAATGGTTTGCTTCAGTGGAGAATACTGGAGAAACAAAGTAGTTTAAAATGAAAGTGAGCCAATAAGTGGTCTTCTACTGCCCTCTGCTGGCCACTCTTCTTATTAATAGTCTTTTTTTGTATATAGACACTATAAAATCACTTATATAACAATTACTATTATAACACATTCATATTTTGTCAGAGTTTATCACTTCAATTGTTCTTATGCTTCACATAATTGCTATCAACATGGTAAATCATGGTAAATAACGCCAGAAACATGGTAAATCATAGTAAAAAAGGTAAATCATGTTAGAATCCTGGTAAATTATTCTAGAATGTGCTATATCATGGTAAATCATCCTATAACATGGTATATCAAGGTAAACTATGGAAAAATCATGTTAGATTCATGGTAAATCATACTGGAACATGGTAAATCATGAAAAATCACACTGAAATGTAGTATATCATGGTAAATCATGCTTGCTACATAAAACTTAATGTATTTTGATGCTTTTGTGCTTAACGGCCTGAAAGGCCTTAACTGCTTGAACACCGCTAAAATGCTGCTTGCAGCTTTAATTAATATTTATTTTTGAACACAAAAAAATGTAACTGCAGGTTTAAAATTTAGAACCTAAATGTACATTGCCAATTTTGTTTTAAAAGATGTTACTAAATTTAAGTATAACTGTCTGGGTTTTTTTTCCGTCTCTAGGCACAGAAAGAGTTGCTGGATGCGGAGTTGGACTTCCATAAGAAGTTGACGTCAGGAGAAGACACAACAGACCTGAAGAGGAGGTTGGGTCAGTTGCAGGTGGAGGTAAGCGGCCACTTTCTGTCACTGTGACCTGTTCAGCCTGATGCCAATATCCAGAACGTGGCTTAATTTTATATATATATATATATATTTGCATCGTGCTGTCAAACGATACAAATATTTAATCGCGATTAATCGCATCAATGTCATAGTTAACTCGCGATTAATCGCACATTTTTGTCCCATTATTTTTTCTCATTTGAATGCTCTTATCAACGTGGAAAAGTGGATCGGCTTGCTTTGTGCAAATGTTTTTTATTGAAAACATCATTGGCATTTACTGTGTTAAATTTCACACTAACATTCTCACTTGGAGCAAATAATCTCTCACACAATGTAACACTGTCCATCAATAAAAGGGTGAAAGAAATATTGACGAGGGGGTGGAGAATTCGCATCAGCTGTGTGTGTGTGTGTGTGTGCTTGGCCATCATCAAGTGGTATTTCAGACTGGACGTGCTGCGATGATGATAGCTCAGTTCACAACGACAAAACACACAGATCACTTTGGTCTCGTCAATGGGACCATTTGGCAACTTTTTAAAAGTAAACTCTCCATTCAGAATCTTATTGGCATCCATTTCGGCGTCTCGCGCTCGTCGTCCACTCAAAGCGTAACGTTAATCTACTATTTGGCCGGGTCGCAAGCCCAAACAAGTGTGTGCGGCGTGCTGTTGTTTTGTTTGCGGTTTAGCTAGATCCGTTTGCGCTTTGGTCGACGAAGCAACAAAACGTCCTCGCGCGGCGCAAGAATGAATGGGTTTCATAGCGCAGCGCCGCGTCCTGTTGCAAAAGCATGTGGAAAAAAAATTACACCGTTTGCTAGGCCAAAAAGACCGTTAATCGTGCGATAAAAAAAATGTATACCGTTAAAATGGGTTTGCGTTAACGCCGTTAATAACGCGTTTAACTGACAGCCCAAATATATATACATTATATATATATATATATATATATATATATATATATATATATATATATATATATATATATATATATATGTATATGTATGTATAATTGTGTTTCGTTACTGAATTGTATTTTGTGATTTATTATTATTTCCCTTGTAGTTTTTTTTTAAGTTGCTTTTTATTTTACAAAAAATATTAGATGTATGCAGTAATCCAAATCTAATGTGAATCATGATTGACAGTAATTTGAACTACATTTTAAAACATCCAAACACATTACAGTAATTAATGGAATCGAGGTGATAATGAAAATATACAAAAATATCAAATAGAATTATAATTGTGCATTTAAATGAATTTACTCTTTTGAATTTAGAGTTAATATTATTATAGTTGTTTTGTTTGTTTATTTTGTAGTACCAAAAATGTCCCTATGACCTGACAGATACCTCTAAAGTAGCGATAGATGTGTGGCACACGTGTTAGGTTTAAAATGGGTCTCATTTTCCGGTTGGCTATTTTACAAGATTACATTTTTTTTATAGTTCTGCCTAAAACGCCATATGTGTTAGTTGCTAAGACGCCATACTTATTTTCAGATTTTTTTTTTTACTGAAGCAAAAGACACTGATGTGCCCAACCAGAACCTTCATAATCCATTTCATGCAAACACAATGTCACACTCAGCCCTAACGTTCACGTTCCTAAAACAAGAGAGACAACCGAAACACCATGGCTGGCACTGGGCTTATCTTAGCTGGTGTGAAATATGCATGTCATTACACTTCATCTCTTGCACATTTAACTCTGAGCACTTCCCAAACCCCAAGGACCAGTTCCCTAACAACACACGCTGGTGCTTTTCATCCCATTAAAGTTTGAGCAGCTCTCATGTAAGAAATGAGAGAAAGATCGAGGGAAGATAATTAACAGAAGAGAGCGGAAGTAAGAAACTGCAGGCTGAAAGACTGTTCAGGGCATGAAAGAGAAATGATCAGCATTTGGTGTGGCTTTAATTTTTCAGTCTGCAGTCAGGGTAAAGGTCAGGCACGTTACAAAGTCTGTGCTAGTTTGGAAGTTTAGAGGAGCTCACTATTCCCATACATCCATATATATATATATATCCTATTTCATTATATTTGTATCAATTTTAGTGCCGGGCAACGATTAATCGTGATAAGCGCATCCAAAATAAAGGTTTGTGTTTACATAACATATGTAAGTGTACTGTGTATAATTATTTTGTGTGTATATATATATAAATACACACACGGATGTATATATGTATATATTATGTGTGTGTGTATATATATATATATATATATATATATATATATATATATATATATACACATACATACATACATACATACATACACACACACACACACACACACACACACACACACACACACACACACACACACACACACACACACACACACACACACACACACACACACACACACACACACACACACACACACACAGTATATACATGCTGTCTGTTACTTTAATTTCCTATTATCACTGTAAAGCTGCTTTGAAACGATCTATGTTGTTAAAAGCGCTATATATAAATCTTGACTTGACATGCAAATATACATATACAATATAAATATACAAAATAATTATACACAGTACACACACATATTATGTAAACTTTGACTTTGGATGCGATTAATCGTTGCCCAGCACTAAATACATCAAATATATATTTATTATGTGATTATACTTTATATTGTAAGTTTTGTTCACACATCCCCCCTCTGGATTTGATTCGCGTAGGCCACCCGGCTGGGCCTGATATCGGCGGGACGGGGCAAACCCCCAGCGGCACCGGCCCGGGGCAGAGGGAGGGGCAGGGGGCGGAGCCTCAGGGGGCGTGGCGGAGGCAATCACATGGTGGTGGACCACCGGCCTCGAGCCATCTCTATTATCGGCTTCACACAGGAAGAGAAGGAGGAGCTCATGCCGCACTTCGTGGTAAGATTTGAGCTTAAATAGTGCAGGATTATATCTCCGTCTGTCTGTCTACCTGTCTGTCTGTCTGCCTATTCTGAATCTCAATGGGACCTCCTGGTTAAATAAAGGTATAATAATCTGTCTGTCTGTCAATCATCTGTCTGTCTCTCTGTCTGTCTGTCAATCATCTGTCTGTCTATCTATCTGTCTGTCTGTCAGTCTGTCAATCATCTGTCTGTCTGTCTGTCTGTCTGTCAATCATCTGTCTGTCTGTCTGTCTGTCTGTCTGTCTGTCTGTCAATCATCTGTCTGTCTGTCTGTCTGTCAATCATCTGTCTGTCTGTCTGTCTGTCTGTCTGTCTGTCAATCATCTGTCTGTCTGTCTGTCAATCATCTGTCTGTCTGTCTGTCAATCATCTGTCTGTCTGTCAATCATCTGTCTGTCTGTCTGTCAATCATCTGTCTGTCTGTCAATCATCTGTCTGTCTGTCTGTCATCATCTGTCTGTCTGTCTGTCAATCATCTGTCTGTCTGTCTGTCAATCATCTATCTGTCTGTCAATCATCTGTCTGTCTGTCTGTCTGTCTATCTATCTACCTGTCTGTCTGTCAATCATCTATCTGTCTGTCAATTATCTATCTGTCTGTCTGTCAATCGTCTGTCTGTCTCTCTGTTAATCATCTGTCTGTCTGTCTGTCAATCATCTATCTGTCTGTCAATCGTCTGTCTGTCTGTCTGTCAATCATCTATCTATCTGTCAATAATCTATCTATCTGTCTATCTGTCAATCAGCTATCTATCTGTCTGTCTGTCTGTCAATCATCTGTCTGTCTGTCAATCATCTATCTATCTGTCAATCATCTATCTATCTATCTACCTGTCTGTCTGTCTGTCTGTCAATCATCTATCTATCTGTCAATCATCTATCTATCTACCTGTCTGTCTGTCTGTCAATCATCTATCTATCTGTCAATCATCTATCTATCTACCTGTCTGTCTGTCTGTCTGTCAATCATCTATCTATCTATCTGTCTGTCAATCATCTATCTATCTGTCTGTCTGTCAATCATCTGTCTGTCTGTCAATTATCTATCTATCTGTCAATCATCTATCTATCTACCTGTCTGTCTGTCTGTCAATCATCTATCTATCTGTCTGTCTGTCAATCATCTGTCTGTCTGTCAATCATCTATCTATCTGTCTGTCTGTCAATCATCTGTCTGTCTGTCTGTCTGTCAATCATCTGTCTGTCTGTCAATCATCTATCTGTCTGTCAATCATCTGTCTGTCTATCTATCTACCTGTCTGTCTGTCAATCATCTGTCTGTCTGTATGTACGTGCCTAATTTATGCTAAATCCATATGACCTCTTGTGTAGAAATTTGGCGAGGTCGAGGAGCTTCACGACCACGACGCCACCAGTGTCGTAATGACCTTCAAAACCCGCAGTGAAGCAGAAAATGTACTGTCTTTTTACTTGTGTTTTTTGTTCTAAATTTGAGATTTATTTTAAGAGCTTAGTAGACTTTAACCACACTAAATAATCTTTTTTTTTTCAGGCTGCAAACCAAGGAGCAAAGTTCAAAGGTCGAATTCTACAGATCTCATGGTACAAACCTAAAACCCCATCTGTGTCCACCGAACCAGAAGAGGAAGAGTCCAAGGACGAGGTCAACGCTGCAGGAATCCATGTAATGACGGTAACTGCATGTTCAACTACTTTTACTGGCTAAACCAAACCAACATGAATATTACATTTCTAATAACACTGACAGGTTTTTGTTTTTAAGTTAAATGGTTGATCTTTTCTCATACTCTCTAGGATCCAGTCAGCCCCTTTCTGCTTCCAGAGGAAGAGGAAGAAGATGATGACGAAGAAGAGGAAGACGAGAGCCGCTCATGGAGGCGATGAGGAAGGGGAGACGGCACCACTTTTTGTTCAAGGACTCTCATTTTTAGTTTTTGTTTGTGAAGTTAATTTAAACATATTTGATTGAATAAGACAAAGTGTCTTTCTTTTTTTTGTTTTTTAAAGACGGTTTTCAGTATTTTGAGACATGTAGAAATGAAAAAGCAAAGCGCGTTCTCCGTACAGGAGAATATACGAGAATGTGAGACGTCTGTGGAGACTTGCAGTGTTTCTGTCACTCTGAAATTTCTGCTTTATGTATATCAAACTCTCACTTTTGCTGAGATTGAGTGTAAAATGTTTCAGCTGGGAAACATTTTGTTTCACTGTGCATGAGCAGATGTCAGTAACTCACAACATTTGTGACTACTGTGAATTATTCTTTTTTTTGTCTAAATTGTTTCACCCATTTTTTTTCCCAGTTTAATATGATTTAACATGAAACTTCATCTGCACTTTGTGCCACTTTGGTAGAAATATTCCAGATGGATGCACTCTTTTGGCATCTCTTTCCTTTGTGAAGAAACGAAATGCCCTCATGATGTCAAATGTTTTCACAAACAAACAAACAACAACAAAACGCTTTTGTATCTGCTCTCTAACGTTTAGGCAATATATATATATATATATATATCACCAGGTGGATTTTTCCTTCTTAATATTAATGTCACTTCCTGTAAATATGGACTCTATAGAAGATATATGTGGCACACTTGATTTTGGTCAGTGTGTCAGTGTTCATATTTATTTCTCACATCTCTAGATGATGTTCCAAAACCAAAAAGAGCTTTGGATGAGAATATGATTCTTGTTAATCGAGGTAAAATATGAACCGTGGTGTTGTGAATGTATTCAAAATTGATTTACACTTCATTTACGCCTTAAATTGACGTTTTACGAGATATGTGACTTTATTTCCCCCTTTTTTTGTGTGTATATTTTGTAAATGGTTGCAGTAACAATGATTGCTCACTTCATTATTTTAGCCGGTCGAATGAATGAATCGCTAAACGGATCGCATTCGAAACTCTTAGGCTTATTTAAGTGAGTGTATGACTAAATAAAACACACTCTTATAAGATTACACCATGCTTTAAAGAAGATTCTGTTGTATAGGTTTTTTTTTTTTTTTCTCATTTTTGACACTCCACTCATTTCAAAAGCCTGGTCCTGCAGAAATGGGTCCAAAACACACCCGTTTCTGTAACCTTCAATATTACCCAATAGCATGCTGGCGTATGTATGCGTGTGTTCATTTGAAAAAAGAAAATATGTGTATGTATGCATATATATTTTTTTAATATTCATATTTACATACTTTGCTAAAATGAAATCTAAGTTTATAGTTCCTTTTACTGAAGGAAGGACCAGTGTAAAACGTATGTATGCTGTTGATGTGACAGTAATAGCACGTTTCTTCGCCATTCGAATTTAGTGATGCACCCGTTTGTCCCGCTCTTCCCAATCGATGGTACATATTGTTTTTAGAATCTCTACAATGATTTCTCAATAACTCATTTGTTCATTTAAGGTCTGGCGGGTCTTGATATTGGTTTTGTACACGAGTCTAGAAGGACTCGAGACTGTGTGTGAATTTAAAGAATGGATTTTGCTCATTTGTATAACCCTTTTACTACACCACATTAGTACAAAGTCATACATTTAGCGTAAATAGATTTTGACTTTATTACTGTTTATAAATTTAAATATCTATGGATGTATTTTTCAGTTTTTTGTTTGTAAAATGGATTTCTAACAGTTGCATGTTTGCTTATCAATAAAGAGAATGGAATGGGGGTGAGCAAGAAGAATATCAAGGGAAACAAAATATTTTCAATTGGCCAAAAGTAAAATGATTTACAACAAACAAAAAAGGAAAAAGATGTCTCAGTGAAAAGAGAGAGAGAGAGATAAAAAAAGGAAGAAAAAAAAATCATGATCCATTCCAAGAATTATTCCCCTCTGAAACAGTTGTCGTGTGTTTTATTTTCTTTGTGAATGATTGTGCTGCATAATCCAAAAAAAACCAAACTTATATTTACTGTTTCTATGAAACGGTAAGATGCTACATTTGGACCTGTAATATAATTTTTATTTTGTAAGTAATTGTTAATCACGTGACAATTGAGATTTAGCAAGGCAGCTTTGAAAGAGTATAAGATGTTGTTTCTACATTCATTGTTTGCGTGTAGACACTGGGGCTGGTTGTCATGTTCCTAGTAATAATTTAAAGTCTTCATTATGACATTAAATATACAGTAATGTTGTATATACTGTATATTATATACTTCAAATGTTGACTACTGTATATACACATACATGCATAGTGTTGGGAGAAACACATTACAAGTAGCGAGTTATGTAATCAGATTACTTTTTCAAGTAACTAGTAAAGTAACGCATTACTTTAAAATGTAGCAAAAAAAAAAATCTAAGTTACTTTTTCAAATAAGTAACGCAAGTACTCCTGTCCCCATGTTGAGAAAACCCGGGAGTAAGTGCAGAGTAAACGATAGTTATTGTAGTCCTAGACTAAACGTGAGCTATTTAATCATCTCACTTGTACAAAAAGGATTCAGTATTCCTCATAATCAATAAAATAAGTCAAATGGAAAATCAAAAAAACGGCAAACCTTCAAAAATGTAATATGTTAAATAAAACTATTATTTTTATGCATTTAATCTCACTTTAGTGATCAATGTACTTCGATGATTCAGTTAAACCATAAGCAACAATGAGTAGATTTTTTGTGTTTATTGAAGTAAGTGTTAGACTTTTTTTCTCCTGCATCTTATTCTTCTGTGATCCAGAATGGCAGCAGAGCTGAAAGGTTTGTTTGAGCAGCAAAAATAAATAAGCCCAGCCCCGGTGAGAAAAAGTGACGCAAATGTAACACAACATTACTTTTGTTAAAAAGGAACCAAGTATCACAATTAGTTACTTTTTAAGGGAGTAGCAAATGTAATATTATTATTGTAATGAATTACTTTTCAAATAATTTTTCCTCAACACTATATATATATATACTCACCTAAAGGATTATTAGGAACACCTGTTCAATTTCTCATTAATGCAATTATCTAATCAACCAATCACATGGCAGTTGCTTCAATGCATTTAGGGGTGTGGTCCTGGTCAAGACAATCTCCTGAACTCCAAACTGAATGTCAGAATGGGAAAGAAAGGTGATTTAAGCAATTTTGAGCGTGGCATGGTTGTTGGTGCCAGACAGGCCGGTCTGAGTATTTCACAATCTGCTCAGTTACTGGGATTTTCACGCACAACCATTTCTAGGGTTTACAAAGAATGGTGTGAAAAGGGAAAAACATCCAGTATGCGGCAGTCCTGTGGGCGAAAATGCCTTGTTGATGCTAGAGGTCAGAGGAGAATGGGCCGACTGATTCAAGCTGATAGAAGAGCAACTTTGACTGAAATAACCACTCGTTACAACCGAGGTATGCAGCAAAGCATTTGTGAAGCCACAACACGCACAACCTTGAGGCGGATGGGCTACAACAGCAGAAGACCCCACCGGGTACCACTCATCTCCACTACAAATAGGAAAAAGAGGCTACAATTTGCAAGAGCTCACCAAAATTGGACAGTTGAAGACAGGAAAAATGTTGCCTGGTCTGATGAGTCTCGATTTCTGTTGTGACATTCAGATGGTAGAGTCAGAATTTGGCGTAAACAGAATGACAACATGGATCCATCATTACCACTGTGCAGGCTGGTGGTGGTGGTGTAATGGTGTGGGGGATGTTTTCTTGGCACACTTTAGGCCCCTTAGTGCCAATTGGGCATCGTTTAAATGCCACGGCCTACCTGAGCATTGTTTCTGACCATGTCCATCCCTTTATGGCCACCATGTACCCATCGCCTGATGGCTACTTCCAGCAGGATAATGCACCATGTCACAAAGCTCGAATCATTTCAAATTGGTTTCTTGAACATGACAATGAGTTCACTGTACTATAATGGCCCCCACAGTCACCAGATCTCAACCCAATAGAGCATCTTTGGGATGTGGTGGAACGGGAGCTTCCTGCCCTGGATGTGCATCCCACAAATCTCCATCAACTGCAAGATGCTATCCTATCAATATGGGCCAACATTTCTAAAGAATGCTTTTAGCACCTTATTGAATCAATGCCACGTAGAATTAAGGCAGTTCTGAAGGCGAAAGGGGGTCAAACACAGTATTAGTATGGTGTTCCTAATAATCCTTTAGGTGAGTGGATATACAGTATATATATATTGTGTGATACACTACTGTAACTGTGGAGTGTGTTCACTGGTTAAAGAAGACGACCAACATATGAAATACTATCAGAAATATAAAAGGACAAAATTTCACAACAGATCTGATTTTTAATTTAGTTAATTCAATGGATTTTCACAAACCCATATAAACCATCATATGTAATGCCTGAGTTACACGTCACTTTTGTCTGAAGGAGACGTGCAGGAGAGCCTAAAACATAGCAGTGAAACACAGCGTCTCATTCCCCTTCTCTGGGAACCAGGTTGCTTGTCCAACCTGAGGCGTTTCCTTTCCATGTGGAGCTTTAAAGCTGTCTTGGTGTTGACGCTATGGGGAATTACCCACTATGCCTTGTTGAAAGAATGCCTACCTATGAATATGTAGAAAGAAAGTGGGCATAGCATTGAGTGACTCTACGGGACTAGGCCAGAGTCAAGAGAGCGTCAATACCAAAGGCGCATACTTGGTGATTTATGCAAAAAGCAACAAGTGTCTTTCTGAACCGACATGAGAGCAATAGAGCTAGCAGGAGAAGCCCAAAAGGGACAAACTCCTGTCAGACTACTCCCCATGCTCTGAAATGATTACACACATGCTTTAGACACCGGTCATGCTGATGCCGTTGCCCACAGCATCAACACCATGACACACATTGATGTATTACTTTGAAAGGGAACCACATTAAACAGGCATTCACGAGTTCACACTTACAAATAAGTCAGATAAAATAAATGCGTATTTTGCATGCTGTCCGAGGAGCATTCGGCCCGAACCCAGAGTACTCCCCCCCGTATTGCTGGTTAAGAAGTAACCAGGCGAGTGTGAGGAGACGGGGTGGTGGAGGGATGCTGAAAAACTGTCGAGGAACATTGGTGAGTCAAAT